TCATCATCATCATGATCATCATCATCCTTCTCCTCCTCCGCCTCCTCCTGCTCCTCCTCCTCCTCCTCCTCCTCCTCCTCCTCCTCCTGCTCCTCCTCCAGGCTCCTCGTACTACACTCAGTGCGGAGGCCTGCGCAGAGCGGCCTGGGCGGTCGTGCGTATCAACGATGACGGCAGCGCCCGTTGTGCAATGTGCGGAACGGTGCCTTTGGCGTGGTCTCGGAGTCAGAGCCTCCGAAACGCCGAGAATGTTGCATTATATATGTTCGCTAAGCTTGTGGTGCAGCCTGACGTGGACGGGCCTCTCATTGGTTTTGTCTTCGGACTGCTCGGGCTCGGTGGGTTGCGCGGTGGATCCTCACACTGCCCTCTCGCCCGGCAACGCCAATCTTCATACGTGGCAGCTTTGGTGGGAAGATCACGGTCCGAACGCGAGTGCAGAAAAGGTCCGCGCGCATGCCAGAGCGTCCCAGGACGCTTCGTTCCAGAATACTTGGCTCAGGAAGGGCAACGAAGGAGCAGCCCTTTGGGATACCCCTTCTGACAGGATCCTGTTCGTAGGGGCGTACGAAGCGCGTGTGCGGGGTGTCGTCCTGTGGATGGGCTGGCTGCGTGCGTGGCAAATTGGCAATGCATTTTTCGACGCAGACGGTGTGGTAGGCACCGCTGACGTGGGGTTCGAGCTCCCTGACCACCTCCACCCGCAGGACGCGGGGCCTTTGGACGAGGCTCTGGCGGCCCGAGACCTGCTGGGCTGGTGCTCAGCCGAGTGCGTTCCCGTGCCCCCGCCCGCGCCTGATGATCTGGGAGGGGGGGGGGCGCGGTGACGGGGCGGGGCTCGGGGAGGAGTGCTCTTGCAGGCCGTGGCGATTTACAGGGCATCCGGCCGTCAAGTGTGATGGCGAAGTGGGGGGAGGATGGGCTTTCCCCGTTTTGTGATTGCAAGTGTTGCGGGGCGTCCTATGGCCAGCGCGCGGTCCCTTGGAAAGGCATGGCGGGAAATCGTCTGGGGCCCAGCATGCTGGGTTGAAGACCCGACGCTCCCGCCTCAGGCGCCGTCTCCACCCGTCTGCGCTCTCGCCGAAGGGGCTCTCTCTCTCTCTCTGGGTTCAGAGGTAGAGTTTCAGATGAGAGTGAGACGGAATGAGATTGAATGGCTGCACGAGAAGTTAATGGGCACCCCGATGGTGCTCTTGGGGCGTTTGCGTCTGGGGCGGGCCCTGGGGCCGTGTCGGGGGTGACGCCCGATTTGGCGGTCGCATGGACACAGGAGCGGAGGCGGGCGGCGAAGCTCAGGCTGCCGAGCTTGGGCCTCTCCCCGAAGAGGGGATCGGCCCGTCTCTCGGGCCAGCCGCATCACGGCGAGGCATTTTGCCGATGCACCGTTCATCCGTTCAGCCTCCTCCTCCTCCTCCTCAATCTCCCCGTCCTCCTCCTCCTCCTCCTCCTCCTCCTCCTCCTCCTCCTCCTCCTCATCCTCATCCTCATCCTCATCCTCATCCTCATCCTCATCCTGGTCCTCCTCCTCCTCCTCCTCCACCTCCTTCTCCGCCCTTCTCGCTCTTAGTCCTCCTCACTCTCCGTCTCGTCGTCCCTCCTCGCGCTCTCACGGGGACTCCACGCGGCCACCGCCAGGCAGCCCGCTGACGCGGCTGCTTTCGTGCGGCGGCGTCTGCCTTCCTCCGCAGACGCAGTGGGCCGAGCAGCCGCCAGGCGTCAGGGCAGAGAGGAGGGCGACGACCACGTCGACGAAGAGGAGGGCGTCGTCGTCATCCTCGCCTCCCTCCAGCAGGAGGGAGGGAGGGAGGGAGAGGGGCGGACTGGGGAGACGAAGAGGAGGAGGGAGCGACGAGAGCCTCGGTCTCAGTCGCCGTCGGCAGACCGATCCGCAGCTCGAAACCCGGAGGGGGGGAGGGGGGGGAGAGGGGAGCGAGGAGTGAGAGGGAGGAGGATATGAGGAGGCGGGCGAAGCGAGGGGCGAGAAACGAGGGCCAGGGGCGGGAGGGAGGGGCGGTGACAGGAGGGGCCCGCGCAGGCGCCGGGTGCGGCAGTCTTGCCGCTCATTGAAGTTGCTGGTTCGTGGGAGTTGCATTGCCTGTCCAGGCTCGTGGTGCATGTGCCCCCACGTGCCCCACGACGGCACCTCTGTGCAGACAGTGGTGCGTGGGTCGCTCCACGGAGAGCCTCACCTCTGGAGGATCGATGGAGTTGGCTTCTCCCCCTCCGCGGAAAGCCAGGGAGGGGCGGGAAGCGAAACGAAGGCGGCTCCGCTTTCTTGGACACTGTGTTGGGACTCCAAACCTCATATGTACGATGGTCCCACAGGCCCCGTTTGGGCGCTCTGTCGGGCGTCTCACCGGGCAGCTCGAGGCGCAGTGGCAGGAGGCCCTGAGGGACTGTGGGCTGATGCGGGAGCCCGAAGAGGAGCCCGAGGGCCAGTGCGTGTCGGAAGAGGCCCACCTACCTGCGCAGGGTGATGAATATGCTGCCGTTGGAGCCCAGGCGTTGGAGATTGGCCGTCCTCTCGGTCGAGTGGAGCAGAGGTGCATGCCAGGTGATGGCGCCGTCGGGTCCCCAGTGGGCGGCGTCAAGGATATCCTCACCGCGGCGTTTGGCACCTTCCTCGAGTGCGCAGAGGAGAAGCGGCTGGACATATACCAGGTCGGCGACGAGCGCTCCAGGTTCGTGGGGAGGGCCGACGGGTTCTCCACCAAGAGGGTGTGCAAGAGCGGAGTGCAGGATGCGAGGGCGCCGAGGCGCACACCTGAGGCTGCGTGGATGGCTAGAGTGGCTAGTGCCTTCCGCGTTGCTGCCCAGGGGAGCGCGCGAGCCAGGTTCGAGGCGCTCGAGTACCTGCCAGTGCTCGTGGCCAAGGCGCCCCAGCGGGTCGTCAAGGGGCAGGAGGACGCCGAGCGGCGAGGGCAGGACACGGCGGCAGACGCGCCGACAGCCCCCTGCGAGGCGGAAAGACAGGCAGGCGGCAGTTGCTGGCATCTCAGCACGGCTGCAGGCAGGTGGCGCAGGTTCCTGCAGCACGGCGTCGTGGCGCGTTGGGACCTGATGGTGCTGGACATCATGGCCAGCCTGGCCACGCAGCATGCTTGTGAGCTCGCGCGGCGTGACCTCGCGGAGCGGGGGCGGCAGTTCGACGCCCGGGCGGACAAGCAGCTCAAGGGGGGCGCGTCAGGCATGCACGCGGTCACCAGGGCGCCCGTCGGCTGGCAGGGCAGCCCATGCAGCGGCAGCCAGGGCCCCGCGGGCTTGGGAAAGGAGTTTGCGCAGCTCGAGGAGGAGTGGAGCAGGCTCTGGAGGGTGGAGCGCGACCAGGCTGAGCCGCAGTGGCCGTCCGACCTCGGCGAGCGGCCGCCACGGCCGACGGTGGAGGAGCCGCGTGCCTGCCTCCGCACTTTCAGGAGGGCACCGCCGCTGGCTTCGAAGCGATCAAGCCGAGGCAGCTCCTCGAGCTCAGCGAGGTCGGCCTCGAGGCCTCATCGACATCCCGATGGCGGTTGAGCAGCCGGCAGAGTGGCCCGAGCTGCACACCAATCCTGGCCAAGAGGCTCGGCGGGGCGACGCCCGTGGCCGCCATCCACGTGCTGGCCGGAGTGCAGACCAGGCTGCGCAAGTCGATCGCGGACGAGTGGGCGCAGGAACGGCCGCTCCTACTCCTGGGCGCCCGGAGGCAGAGGGCGCGAGAGGGCGGTCCGGCAACAGGCGGCGGTGTGCGAGTGGGCCACTGCCAGAGGGAGGGAGGCAGGAGAACCTGAGAGTTGGGCGCCCGCGCTGGTGCTCCTAGACCTGCCTGCTCAAGGCGCACAAGCAGGTGCAGCATGGACAGCTAGCTCATCAGGGCAGCGGCGAGGACGGGCTTCCCGCTGTGGCATCTCAAGTTGCAGGTCGGCCTCCACAGGTCGCCGAGGCGGCTCGCGCTGGATGAGGCGGCGAGCAACCCATCACCACCAAGCAGGCCGCGCGGCCAGGGGATGGGCTCGCCACGCTCGTGCTCAATATGATGTTGTTCGAGCCCCTGGATAAGTTGCAGGCGGTGGCGCCCGCGGTTTCGCTGTCGGCGGCGGCGGGCGGCATCGTCCTCAATCGAGGCGGGGGCGCGCGTCGGACGGCCACCGAGGTCGCCACCTGGGCGTGGACTTCAGCGGAGACAAGCGGCCTGGCCGCGGCGCCCGCGCTGGACGCGCGTTGCAGGCGAGGCAGAGGCTGAGGGGAATGAGGATTGGTCAGCTGGCCAAGGCGAGGAATAAGGCTGCCAGGAGGATCGTCAAGACGGCGCTGCACCCGAGCATCGGGCACGGGACGGACATCGCGGGATGCGGCATGGCCGAGCTCGACCGAGCCAGGTCCCTCACGTTTGTGGCGGCCTCCAGCACCATCGTTGGCAAGTCGAGGCGCTGCCACCCCTCTAGCAGCGCCTGGTCATCGGCGGCGTGACGGTTTTGTAGCCACCATCTTTCACATGAAAGGATACAGCATTGTGTGCATAGTGCTCTACGCCTACCCCTCCATTGAATTCAACGGCCCGAACCTCGGGCACTTCCTGGGACTGGGTGCACTTCTGAATAGTTTTATATTACAGTGGTTCGTTATCGGGGATTCCAGCGTCTCGGTCAGTGCCATGCAGAAGCCCATGTTCCTCCAGCACATCCGAGGCGGTGTCTCTGTGCTCACGGCCGACATCGAGGCCACCTGCAACGCTGGGCCGAATCAGGGGGCACACATCGACTACATGCTGTGTTCCGAAGCGGCTCGGCCATATGCACATACTATTAGCCCTGTCGTCAACGCCCCGTGGAGGCCGCATATAGGTTTAATCGTCCAGCTTAGAAAGGCAGGGGGCCAGCTCCTGGCCAGATATTTATATATGCCTCGCAAGTTGCCCCAGGCTGCGCGCCCCCAAGCGGCCCCCACGCGCTGATCTAAGTCTTGCAAAAAGCGGGCTGCCGCTCGAGACAAGCAGCAGAGAAGCAGCGAAGCCAGACAGGCTCAATTCGATAAGTTTTTCGGGGGCCTCGTCAATCCTCCAGAGCTCGAGCCTGATGCTGGGTCGGATGCAGATTCTGAGCACGGTGGTAGGCCCGTCTCCGAAAGGGATGTTGTTGGTGATGAGCCTAGCGGTTTTGGTTCTGGGTTCGGTTTCGAGCCTGGGGATGACCCTTGGGCCCACGAATCCGGGTTTATCAATATAGCGGTTAGTGCACAGGGTGCGTCGTCTGTAGAGGCTCCAGGGGGGCCGCGTGAATCTCGCCGTCGGCGCAGGAAAAAGACGGTCCGCGTGATAATAAGGCACCACAGGTGTCAAGCCCCCGTGCGTCCGATGAGCGACCCGAGCCACCCCAGCCTTTAAAGTGTAACGACCCCGCCCCTACTCCCCCCCCCGCTCCGCCCTCGCCCTCCGCGCCCCCCCCCCCCCCCCGTGGAGTCTGATCTGGCTGGGCTCGAGCCTCCCTCGTCGGATCCGTCTGAAGGGGTCTCGTTTCAAGTTCCCGAAGATATGTGGAATGAATGCCGTCGGCAGGTGGGTTTCACCAGAGGTGCCCCCTCTCGCCCTCGCCCCTCCGTTATGTAGCCTTTTCGCTCAACAGCACGCCCACTCTTCTTGCGATATCCTCCATATACGCTTCTTGGATTCAGACAGCCGAGGCTGACCTGCATTCTCAGCATGGAGTCGATTGGCCCGGAGGTTTGTCGCGAGCCCAACGGGCCAGTTTCAGAGTAGATAAGGTTCAGCAGCAGGAACGACAGCGTCTCACGGCGCATCGAGATATCACGGCAACTTGGTGGACTCGTCTCAACGCGTTGTTCAGTGGATTGCATCGGCACGTCGATCGAGGAGCTGGCCACAAACAACGAGGCCGCCTACTTGAGTCACTTCGCGAACATGTTAACGATCGGCCTGAGAAGGCCCATGTAGCAATGAGGTCCCCAAAGGACCCTCCACGGAGACGCTGGCAGCAGTGGTTTGACGAGCTCGGCGCGGAGAAGGCTGACTGCGCCCATGGTGGCGTCACCGAACATCCTCGAGGCGCCGATGCAAAATCTCAGCGGGCAGAGTCGCGGCCCGCAGTGAGGCCGCCCCTCCTCCCCCATGACAGGTGAAGCTGGAAGGCCTTGTCAAAGCATCTAATCGCATCGCTGGGAGGTGCCAGCGTCGGGCTATCATGGGGTCTCTCAGTGATTTCGGAGCTTCCGTCGGCTGCACTGGGCGAGATGGCGCAGATTTATTCAACTATCGAGGCCGAGGTTTCCTGGCCACATCAGATCACGTTAGTCTTGGGGGGGCCCTCCCTAAGAAGACCGAGGGATACCGCCTCATAGGCTTGATCTCCATATTCAGTCGCATGTGGTCTCTCGTGAGGGAGACGGAGGTCCAGACCTGGCCCGACCAGATGGAGCCTTTCCGGGACGCGGCAGCGAAGGGGGACGCTGCGTTGCGCGAAGTTTTTGCGCGCGCGCTGCAGGAGGAGGTAGGACACCAGCTCAGTTTGCCATCAGGTACGGGGCTGCTCGACATGGACGGCCTCTATGACAATATTGCCTGGGAGTACCTCATACCCACGTCGCTGTCGTTGGGTGTTCCAGCGGTCGTCCTCTGTCTGGAGGTCTTGCAGTGCGCGGCACCACGCGCCCTGGGCCAGCGCGAGTCTTGGGCCCCCCCGATCAAGCCGACGCAGTCGATCCTTCAGGGCCTTCGCTCTGGCACGCGCTTTGCGCGCATCATGGCGCATTGCGCATTGGACCGGGCGCGCACAGCACACCCACGCATGATCCACAGGATTTGGATTGACGACTTGGCTTAGCGCGCGGCTGGCTCGAGATTGCATGCAAGGACGGACTTGGCGGCGGCGCTCATGACCACGCGCAAAGGTTCAGTTGGCATGAAGCTCAAGCTTGCCAGCAAGAGCGCGATTTAATGTTCACATCATCCTGGCGCCTTTCGCGTCGCACGTGCTTCGCGACTTGCTGGATGTCCAACTCGGGCCCGAAAGGGCGCAGGCTACCTTGGAACCGATCTTGGAGGCGACAGCCGCCATGTCAGGGGTGCCAGGCGCAAGCGCTTCTGCAAGTACGCCTCCATGCACGCCCAGGCGAAGAAGGTCGCAGCTGCTGGCAGGCGCTACACGACGACCTCCAAGCTGGAGCGCTTGGGGGCTCAAGCAGCGGGCTCATTTGCATATCAGATGCACGGGGTCTTTGGATTCCATCTCATGACTTACCGACGTCGCCTCAGTGCGGCAGTTTCAGATCCATCGAGTGGCAAGTGTTCGACAGCGGTGTTGCTCTCAAAGTTCCTGTCGATCCAGCTTTGAAGATGCCAGAGGAGCGTGTTCGCATGTGGTTCAGCTCCTGGCAGAGCGAACCTCAGCTCAGGCGTGGCATCGAGCGCATCTGGGAACCTCTGGTGGCCAAGATACGCGGAGCCCCCAGTGCCCAGAAGACCAGACATATTCGTGGACCCGCGTCTGCGATTATCACTCTGCTACCCGACAATGGCGGGGCCCTCAATCAGCTACCAAGTGGACATTTCCATGCCGTGCCGACATTGACGAGACCATCGAATGGAATGTTCCAGATAATGATTGGGTTGGGTGGCCTGATGTGGACGATCCAGGTTTGTTGATTCAGGATCTTCAGACCACCATTGCCTCACGACTCTGGAATGAAGCGGCTAACCACTACTGTGGAGGCGGCCTTGAAGGAGGCACTGACGTGGAGTCGTTCAAGCGCCTCTATCATCAGCTTCTCGCCCTTCCCCGCGGGAGCCGACTCGCTGAGTTGCTCATCACCATCGGAGTTGGTGTTATGCGGCCCCGTGTTTGTCGTGCCGATGCAGCGGCAGCAACGGGCAAAGGAATTCAGGTGTCCCGTCTGCGTGCGCGATGCGGGGAGGCAGATGAAGACCCTTTCCGTCGCGCGCGGGGATGCTCTAGCAATCGGGGTTCGATGATTCACGACCAGACTGAATGTTTAGTACACGAAGCCCAGGTCCAGAAGGATACGGCCGAGTGCTTCTGGCTGCGGGGCCTCATCCCCGCTCAGTGGGTTTCTGCGCCGCCGCCAGCGAGTGAATATGACTGGCACACGGTGGGCATCAGGTGGGCATCAACGACGACGAGCTGGGTCCAGAGAGTTTGGGAGCGGGCCTGCCCGGGGCTCCTCTCTTCTTTTTTGGAGATGCCAGCGGCGGCGCCGACTCCAGCAGCAATCGCTTCAGGAGAATAGGCGTCGCCGTAGCTCGAGTCGAATATTTCAATCCAGTTGTTGTCCGGTCAGCGGTCTCAGGCCCTCTGCCTGGGCCCAGGCAGACTGTTCGTCGTGGAGAGCTACGTGCTCTACTTCTTGCTATACAGTGTACACGTGGTCATGTCGTGTACACCACTGACAATTCAGGAGTTGCCGACGGCTGGGCCCAGCAGCAGTTCAACCGCCCGTCGGGACAGGACGCAGACCTGTGGTACGCCATCAGCAGAGAGTTCGGTCATCGTGATCATACTTCGTTTGTGGTGTTATTCGTCAACAGCCACCTCGGAGCTGCCGACGCCTTGCGCAGTGGAAACCCGCCGTGGCTGGCGGAAGGCAACTTAATCGCAGATGTGCATCTCGCGCTGCCACAGACCGTGTCCGCATCCCCGAGATCATAAGAAATGCGGTTCACCAGGTCGAGAGCAAGGCGTATGTTGTCCGACTTCGCCTCCTCCGTTCTACTTTAGATGCTCTCGAGAAGGAGAAAGAGGTTCCAGGTCCGAAGCCGAAGAGCGAGTCTGAGGCGCCTCCCCCTCCTCCACCTCCTTCTCCAGGTTCGGTTCAGGTGTTCACATCCAACCATATTTTCGCTGAGTGTGGCCGCCGATGTCTTAGGTGTTTAGCTCTGCCACCTCAGCCAGACAGGCTCTGTGGCGATCCATCCCGTGTTTTAACCCACAAAACATGGACGGGGTGTTGTTTCGTTTGCCACCAGGGGAAAAGTTACACGTTGCTTGGGGCTGGGTACATGAAAGCCATCGGATGCAATTACATAATGGGCTTTGCCTTTGGTATTGTTGTATTTGTGGACACTATGCAGATCAGATTATTCTGAAGCTTGGGCAAGAATGCCACAAGCGCACAATCCCATCCAGAGCCGAGTATTTGAACCGAATCCATTCGGGACTGTGGCCGAAGGTTCGGAGTCGGGCTGAGTTGGCTCGGAAGGGGGCGGAATTCCCGACCTAGGCTCTGCCTAGAAGGGTTCTTGCTCTCTTGGCTTAAAGGGCCGGGCAGTGCTACCCGCCCCGGGCGGTTCCCCCAGTATCCTGGGAGCGGTTCCCCCAGTCCCCTGGGAGCTTTCTAGCTTTAGCTTAGCTTTAGCTTCGTTTTAGCTTTAGCTTTAGCTTACCTTTAGCTTAGTCTTAGCTTAGCTTTAGTGTAGCTTTAGCTGTAGCTTAGCTTCAGCTTAGCTGTAGCTTAGCTTCAGCTTAGCTTTAGCTTAGATTTGGCTTAGATTTAGCTTAGCTTTAGCTTAGCTCTAGCTTAGCTTTAGTTTAGCTGTAGTTTAGCTGTATATTAGCTCCAGCTTAGCTGCAGCTTATCTTTAGCTTAGCTTTAGTTTAGCTTTAGCTTAGCTTTAGCTTGGCTTTAGCTTGGCTCTTGCTTAGCTCTAGCTTAGCTTGAGCTTAGCTGTCGCTTAGCTTTAGCTTAGATTAAGCTTAGCTTTAGCTTAGCTTTATCTTAGATTTAGCTTAGCTTTAGCTGAGCTTCAGCTGAGTTTTACTATTACTACTAATGCTGCTTTCCCAGGGGATTCAACTCCTAGGCAGGGTCGCATTGGGGTAAAATTATCTTCGAACTCGCTTCGCGATTGGCGTCGCTCACTCACTCCTCCTCCTCCTCCTCCTCCTCTTCCTCCTCCTCATACGGCGAGAAGTAGGCGCGCTCTGCGGCCCCTGCCCAATGGGACCGTCGGCCAGGACCGCCAACTGCCACAAGGCGCCGAGCGTGGCCTCATCTGCGACCTTTACCAGCAGAGCGTGCCCGAGAAGACCGCGGCGCAGTTCCAGGGTTCCCCGCGGGTCTGGGAGCGCGAGAACGGCAGCAACGCGCTGGTACAGACCTGGCCCACCCAGTTCAATGACACTGTCAAGGAGAAGTTCGACCCGCAAGTCCAAAACTACAACACCGAAAGGTTCGATGCAAGTGCTGCGGAGGAGCTCGTTCACTGTATGGCAGCCATGGTTGGCGCACCAGCAGTCCGGGAGCTCGGAACCAGGTTTTTGTCAGAGCACGACTGGTAGCGAGAAGCCCGCGTACGTTGGTTCTGCGGAGGCTCTGATCAAGCCTCTGACGGACAATCCCGAGATCCAGAGGGAGCGTGCTTTCGTCCAGATGGGCGCCACCATTGACGGCTTGGACAGGTATGGCTTTATCTGTCGCTACGTGGATGGCCGCGGCCAGAGCGGCACCAAGGGCTTCTCGATTCGGAGGAGAGAAACAGGCATCAGCATTAACTTTCGGAGGTCCGCGCGGCTTTCTCGAATCGGCGCCGCGCCGGACTCCCGTCCCAGGCGCGCGGAGCGCGCCGGGCGTGGCGCCGCAGACGCCGCCAGGGGGGTCCAGCGCAGATCCAATAAATCCGCGCGGGGCTCCTACAGCTTACGTCTCTGCAGTTTGTTCTCTTCTCTGCCGATGAATCCCGCTTGCCAATACGCACTTTGCACGAAGCAGGGCTGGGAGACGATGGCGGGCCTCAAGCTGGGCCCGAGGGCGCCAGGGGTGGTGGTCGGGTAAGCTGCTCCCCTTCGGCAACGAGGCCACACCGAACAGCAAGGGCGTGGTAAATCTGCGGCGCGGATCGCAAAGACGAAAGAGGAAATGTGGGAGAACGTGGGGGCGAGGAGGAGCAAGACCAGCTGGGGGGGAGGAGCAGGGCGTGGAATGAGGCAAGGGGGAGAAAGAGAGAGAGAGAGAGAGAGAGAGAGCAAAAACGAGAGAGAGAGAGAGGGAGACAGAGAAACAGAGAGACCAGAGAGACAGGGAGGCGGGGGAACGTGCCTCGCGATGAGCATGGGGGCTGTTGGTAGGGGCCCGCTTGCGCCGCGGTGAGAAGATGGAGCAGGAAGCGGCAGGCCACGCCTCTGCCACAGATGGCGACGACGACGACGACGACGACGACGACGACGACGACGACGCCGTGGAGGCGGAGGGAGCGGGCGGCGCGCGAGGAGGCGCCTGGCCGCAGGGCGCGCCGCCCACCCCGCGCACGATGAGGCTCTTTGCGCCCCAGCCGCGGTGAGGCAGGGGCAGAGAGGAGGGGGAGGAGGAGGGGCAGAGAGGGGGAGAGAGGAGGGGGAGGAGGGGGAAGGAGGAGGGGGAGGAGGAGGAGGAGGAGGAGGAGGAGGAGGAGGAGGAGGAGGAGGAGGAGGAGGAGGAGGAGGGAGGAGGGGGGAGGGGGAGGAGGGGGGAGGACACCGTCGGACTACACAGCCCTTGCGGGTGGCTGGCTCCTGATACGACCGTATGGAACATGAAGACAGAATGCCACTGGGGGCCGCTGCTGACTGGACAGCTGCCAGTAACTGGGAGGAGGTGCGTGGCTCATGATTCATGGGGTAGCCTGATGGTCTAGGGTGATGGGAAAGCGGGTATGGAAGCAAGAGGCAGGAAAGGCAAAATGGGAAATCAGGGAGGAAGGAGCGGACAGGAGAGGGAAGGGGGACGAGAAGAGAGAGAGAGAGAGAGGAGAGAGAGAGGGAAACACGGGGAGAGAGCCCTGGGAGCGGCAGCAAGACGAAACGTAATAACGATGAAATTGCTCTCAACTGCTTCCCACATGCCTAGACATGTGATGTCTCGAGAGCGTAGGTCGGCTACGCGGCCGGGACACGTTAGCTTGCACGGAGTTGTGCGGCTGAATCCCCATGTGACCCGCAATTGCGCTGAAGTGGTGCGCAGGTTCGAATCCAAAGCATTTGCGGGGAAGCTCGCAAGCTCGTTTCAAATGTGACGGAGTCACGTGGCGATGACCAGCAGTGACAAAAATAAGCATAGTAGCATGCAGTATGGCATAGTAAGTCTCCCAGAGATTTGGCCTGACGTGCCCTCACAAAGGGCCCATGGAGGGCGGACATCGGTTAGTTGGGCAGATCTCCTGTTCATCTGCAGGCTTGCGGGGATTTGGCCTGACGTCCCCTAGAAAGAAAGGACGCGAGATGTGGGAACCTCGGGCCAGTGACCTAAGAAGGCCGCTTGGGGGCCTCAGAGGGTCTCACCTCTTGTACGGGGTAGCAGGATGAGCAGGGCGGCGCCAGAACATCGGGAAAGCAAGATGGCAAAGGCGGGCGGGGCAAGGAGGGGGAGGAGGAGGAGGAGGAGGAGAGAGGAGGAGGAGGAGGAGGAGGAGGGAGACGACGAGAAGGGGGAGAGGAGAGAGAAGGAGGGGAGGGAGGAGAGGGAGGAGGAGGGGGAGGAAAGGAGGTTGAGGAGCGGATGAGGACGACGAGAAGAGGAGGAGGAGGAGGAGGAGGCGGAGGAGGAGGAGGAGGAGAAGGAGGGGAAGGAGGAGGGGGGGACGAGTAGGAGGACGAGGAGGAGGAGGAGGAGGAGGAGGAGGGCGAGGATCATTTCATCCCGTCGCCCAAAAGCAGAGAAGGCCGCTGGGGGGAGAGATTTGCGCCCACGTGGCACTGGAGCCCACAGCTCGAAACTCGAACTGGGATCCAGAGTTCCCCCAGTCTTCTTATTTTCTTCGCAATATGTTTACCTGTTGCTCTGTTGTGTTTGGCTGTCGAGAGTGTGTGCTTTCGCACGCACATTATGTGGTTGTTCGTTGAAGATGTGGTTTAGACGCAGCAGCCCATGAGGTATACTAGGGCAACGCTAGGGCAACGCAGATAAGAGGGCGGGGAGGAGAATAAGGGGGGAAAAGAGGAGGAGAAGATGGAGGAGAAGATGGAGGAGGAGGAGGAGGAGGAGGAAGGGGAGGAGGACCAGTGTAACCACAAGACGTATCAACGATATTGCAACGAACCCTCCCTCCAAGTTCCCTCGTCCCAGGCCTTACAAGAGTAATTGCGCGAAGCGGTTCGTTAGAAGCCAACCGTCTGAGAATCCTCAACCGTGCCAAAACACCGCTCTTGGGATTTCAACGCCGCCGATCAACGCCAGTGTTGCGTCCCGACGAGCCTAAATCGTGCCAGAGATCAGCCCCTGAAACTTCAACACAGTGACCGTTGCGTCCTGACAGTCCTAAATCGCTGCCGAGCACCATTCCTGGCACCTGGGCCCCACGAATCCTTCCACATGCTGCTAACTGTTGAGAGGAATGCTCGCGGTGCTAAGGCGAGAGCCACGTCTTGAGAGCCACCCGCCCGCCATCCGTGAAGCTGCTGCCAACGCCTCAGTACCATACATGGCGAGCAGGTCTCAGACGAAGCGCCCCGCCCGCCCTGCCGACGCGTCCGGGGGTGCGACGGGGATGAGCTGTTCACGCGGAGAAAGGGATGGAGGAGGAGGAAGATGGCGGAGAGGGCGGGAAGGGGACAAGAAGGAGGAGGGAGAGGTGGACGACGAAGGAGCACGCGAGGGTGAGAGGAGGAGGAGGAGGAGGAGGAGATAGGAGGAGGAGGAGATACAAGGAGGAGATAGGAGGAGGAGGAGGAGATACAAGGAGGAGGAGGAGGAGGAGGAGGGGGAGAGATAGGAGGAGGTAGGAGGAGGATGACCAGAGGAAGCACGGGATGCATCAACGATGTTGCAGCACACCCGTCTGCCCAAAGTCCCCACACGAGCTCCTGCGGGTCGTGTTGTTCCTTATTTAGTGTGAAGGGTCCCCCAGCGAGAGCCCGAGGGCCCACTCTTGAAAAGGAATTGCCCTCTGTCTTTCTAACGGCCGCCAAGATTTAGCGGTGCTGATGCGAGAGCCCCATATTTTCACATGTGCCGCAATCCATCTTTGTCGGTTCTTCTATCCAGCTGCCTGCGGCAAGAGTTTGTGGTGGTGGATGTTGCGGCGTTCGTGTGTGTGTGTGGTGTGTGTGTGTGGGTGTGTGGGTGTGTGTTTGTGTGTTTGTGTGTGTTGTGTGTGTGTTTGTGTGTGCTTGTGTGTGTGTTTGTGTGTGTGTGTGTGTTTGTGTGTGGTTGTGTGTGTTTGTGTGTGTTTGTGTGTGTGCTTGCGTGTGTTTGTGTGTGCGTGTGTTTGTGTGCGTGTGTGTGTGATTGTGTGTGTGATTGTGTGTGTGTTTGTGTGTGTGTGTTTGTGTGTGTGTGCGCTGGCGCTCGGGACGATGGTGGTGCCCAGGCCGCCTGGGTGGTGCTTTCTTGCGCCGTGGTCTGGGAACCTGTGGTCCCAGCCACCTCCCGTGCGGCGGCATCGCCCGTGGTTTTCGCGGCCGCCAGGGAGAGGCGGACGAGGAAAAGCTGGAGGCGGGAAGGACGACAGCGCGTCGTGCAATGCCATGTCACGATGGCAGATCCATCTCATCTTCGGTGCTGAACTTGTCTGGGTTCTATTGATGGTACTGTTGTTTGATTGGGTGGTGTGTTAATGTTGCCCGTCGTATGGCATGGGAGTGTTCATTGTCCGTCTTCTTGTGTGGTCGGAGGGACTGAGGTCATGGTTGAAGTCTCTATTGCGTCCACGCTGTCGGTTGACGAATCGGAATCACAGCCGTGGTGGACGCCTGTGTTGTCGTTGTCGTTGTCACGGTGGACGAGGGGGAGGAAGGAGGAAGAGGAGGAGGAGGAAAGGGAGAGGGAAAAGAGGGGAAAAGCGAGAAGGAGGAGGAGGAGGAGAACATCAACGACGACGTCGCCGAGCAGGGCAAGGAGGACGAGGAGGAGTTACCACCGCACTTGACAGTCGCCGTGCTATATCTTGCGGCTGCTACGAAGTAGCCAGTCGCATCATTTTTCTTAGCTCCAGCGTGTGGGCTTCCTAGTGGTGGGGCGTAGTGCGAGCACAGTCTTGTAGTGATCTAGATGATGCATATATGTGCTTCTCTTGCTAGGTTATTAGAACAACTACAAGTTAATTCAATTGATTTCCTGGCTTCAGAAGATTCACAAAGAGGCCGACGGGCTCGTCTTCTGTGTAGCTAGTTTTTTGTGCGTTCCTCGTGGTGCCAGTCGGACAGCGTAGTGCACGTTGAACCCGAAGCCCAGGTGTTCCAAGAACTGTCCCTCCAGGTGGTTTCTGAGCAGCCACGGCTTCGAGCCACTAACTGCTTGGGTGGCTCTCAAAGATGTTGACGCCCGAACCGCTTGTCTCTAGCAGCGCCAGGCTAATGTTTTCGTATGGGCGGCAGACGAAAAGGCCAAAGAAAAGCCGGCCGATCTCCGAGCCGGGGCGGCTCTCCGTCGCAGTGCCACAGGATCCCGCTGCTCTTCGTCCCCACTTGCTCCGCTCTGCCTCCGCTCGCCTCTCGGATTTTATACTGCCCACGCGTGCCCGCGCCCCCCGCTGCTGCGTCCGCCGGCGTCCCTTCGCCGTGCCCCAGTGCGATTCCACTGCCAGCTTCGACACCCCTCTCCTCTGTGGTACGCGTCCAGACGGAGCATTACTGCCGAGAGCTCGAGGGCTCGACCTCCGGCGGAGGGCCTGCGGACGCCCGCCGGCGGGAGACACTGTCGACCTCGCCGGCGGAGAAGGCTGGTGGACGCCGGCGGAAGCCACAGCTGATGCTCCACGAGAGCCCCTGCTCTTCTTACCACGTCTGGTGCTCCTCTTCGCTTGTGAGCGAAGCCGAGTTCTCACGTCCTTTCTGAGCGGCCCATGGCGGCCCCTCTGAGGGAGACGCCCCACACGGTTACGTTCGACCGCTGCCTTTGGGACTACGAGCGCGCACTTATTTCATATTCGAGGCTACCCGTGGACGCCAGCCTGAAATCATTCAGCACCCGCCTCTGTGCCGCCACAACAAAGTTCCAGGCAAATTGCTTCACGTTTACATAAAAGGTATGCACGGCCATATCGCAAAAAAAGCGCGTGTCGCTCACACCGTATCGGACGACAACGGCCGAGGCAACCAAACAATGATTCGGCAACGACGCAACGGCTTCGGCAACGACACAACCGCTTCAGCAACTGACAGCAGGCAGCAAGGGTTTCGGCAACAGACACTAATGACGGCCGACGGCTTCGGCAACAAACACCGACACTTTTACAACTCAACGTATCAATTCAAAGGAGCAGGGGCAGTGGTGTATTTCCATAACGGGGGTAACCAGCGTGTACAATCGGCGTCGCCTCCCTCGGACGACCCACGTCCAATGTTTACGTTGCGGGGAGAAGCAACGATAACAACCAATCATGTTCGCGGTCAGGTTTATTGCTTTCCCGTCCTGCGTGCTTCGTGTTGCATAATCCCACGCTCCTGCCCCGCTTTCCCCCTCAGTATTCCCGCTTATGTTTCTTCTTGCTTGCCCCATTCAGTTGCGAAAACTGTCGGTCGACACTTGCCACCATTACCCTATGTTGCCGTGCAGTCTCATGTTTCTTTTCTTCACATTATGGCTAGCGGTTGCTCGTCGTGGTTCGCGTGAGGTTTGCGGACAGGTTCAATCATTAAGTCATTTTGAAGTGGGAGATTTGTTGTAGAAGTCCATTTGTTGTTTCAATATCGTGAGTCTTAAAGGAGGGCCAGCTGTTTTGATTGGCAGCGTTGCGGTTATACCTTCATTTTGCGCAGAGATTTGGAAGGACTTGGAGTTCCTGCTCTGCCCCAGATAAAACAACTCCTACTTTGACGTCGATATGGCACTCCCCGCGCAAATTGGCATGCATGGCGGCTTCGGTGGAATCACACACGACGTATTCGAAATCAAAACAGAGCGCCAGGCCCATCCAAAAATTGTTTCGGACGGTCTACAAAGTAAATGTTTGTGACTGGACGTTGTCAAATCCAGGCTCCCAAAAGATGAGCACCCAAGACCGCTCCTTCCGACGACTGCTACGATATCCTTCGAAGATACTCCATACCAGCAGCTTGGGGATGCGGTGTCCAAACAACGGCTGCGGTATCAAAGCACCAGTTCTGGTATGAGAGGAGTTGTTTTGACAATTATTCGCCCGCATCGTTTTTCGCTAAGCATCCCCAGGCTGCTTCATTTGTTTCGAGGCATGGACCCTGGAGGTCCGGACCATTTCCCCAAGGCCAGTTTTCCGTCTTGAGGTTGGTTGGTTTCATGAAAGTCAGTCGTTGTATCTATTTGATTTTTGGGGTATCCACCAAGGTTGGAATGGGTATTCTCCCAAGCCGGTCCCGGCATCAATTAAAATTGGGCTTGATGTTCACCCAGGTCGTTTTCGGTTTTAACCGGATTTGGCGTGCCGATTATTTCATTAGCGTTGTTGTTATTCCCTACCTAGGCTCTGCCTAAAAGGGTTCTTACTCTCTTAGCTTAAAGGGGCCGGGCAGTGTAAACCGCCCCGGGCGGTTCCCCCAGTCCCCGCCCCACGGTTCCCCCCAGTCCCCTGGGAGCTTTAGCTTTAGTTTTAGCTTTAGCTTTAGCTTAGTTTTAGCTTAGCTTTAGCTTAGCTGTAGCTTAGCTTTAGCTTAGCTTTAGCTTAGCGTCACTGTTTCTACTAATGCTGCTTTCCTAGGGGTTCCAACTCCTAGGTAGGGTCGCACTGGGATAATGCATTTTGTTTACATGCGAATCTAACCGCACGCGCCGAAGTCGAGGCTGCAAGCGGGGGTGAAGCAGGGGAACAAGGGAAGCAATTGTGGATGAAAATGAAGAAAAGTTGTTGCCACTTACCTTAGTTGATTTCAAATGTGCACGCGTTTGTAAAATATCAGCAACCAGTTTTTTTGTTTGTTTTGATGCACGTTGATTCAGAATTTGTCGCATATGTATCGAGATGTCGTACGCGCGGGAAAACGGGAAAACGTATATAAATCAAGAAAAACCAGGGATTCGTTTGGAGCAGGTTTGAGATTCAATCTTCAGGTTGTTTTTTTTTGGCCGTTCTATTGTCATGACCCCTAAGAAAATTAACCGCCCATCGTCGATTTCCATAAAACATTTGGACCAGTGAATTGCACACGGATCCCCCAGCATTGCCATAAGTTTTGAATTCAAGAAATTGTATTGGAAAATTGGCATATCAGATGCAGTCTTCTACAAAAACCCAGTGAGAATTATAACCTCCCCAAACAAAATACGCAGCATTTATATTAGTATTCAGGCCAATGTTCAAGTGCAATACAGTGACGGCTTGCTGCCCGAAACATTGGCCAACAAATTCGCCTTATCGCAAGTAGATCCAACCCAGCTCCTATCTCGCAGCTTCAACGAAGGGTTTCCGAATGTATTTGTTTGTCTTTAAAACTGATTTGAGAAATTGCGAATTTTTCTTATTACCGCACCATTGTGGGAATGCATTCGCATTCACGAGTAATTGCTGCAACATATACGTTAAACGAACCGTTGTTGCATCGAGCATTTGCGCGGACATCAGACCTCAGTTCGTAACCGGCAATAAGTGCCAATATTTGTGCCAATTCGCGCTGCACTATTGTTAAATTTGAATGAATTTGGAAAGCCCGGCAGGTTCCGAATCACAGACTAACACTGAATAACAAAGCGCGCGCGGCGAATCACAGACCGCGCGCGCCGAATCGCAGACAACACCTATTGAATCACAGACCACGCGCGCCGGGTCACAGACAGTACGCTTCAATCACAAAGCGCGCGCGCCGAATCGCAGACAACACACATGGAATCACAAACCGCGCGCACCGAATCACAGACAGCACACATTGAATCACAAACCGCACGCGCCGAATCACAAATATCATTCGTTGAATTTTAGACCGCGTGCGCCGAATCACAGACAGCACGCATTGAATCACAGATCGCGCGTGCCGAATTACAGACACCACACATTGAATCACAGACCACACGCGACAAATCATAAATAACACATTGAATCCCAAACCGCTCGCGACGAATCACAAACAACACGCGTTGAATCATTAACCGTACGCGACGAATCACAGACCGCATATTTGGACCCAAGTGGGTTCCCATAACATAAAAGAAGATTGGTTTCCGTAACAGCGGATTTTGGTTTCAATAACGAGACCCGGGTTTCTGGGTTTCCATATTTCCCAACCATCCGGTGGTGTTGGGTCGTCGTTGTTAATGTGTATATATTTATAGACATATACATATATATATAGTAATCATAGCGTCTCCTCCTTCTTTCTTCCTCCTCCTTCTTCCTTCCGTTTGACCTACTGAGAACAGCGCTTCGTAGCCCCATAAGAGCTCCACCGAAGACCCCAATGCTATCACACCTGTATCCATACCCATGTCGGCACACCCCTTACAAGTTTCGTGGCCCACAGGCCACAGTGCCACCGCCCGCATTCACCAACTTTACCCATTTCGTCACACCCTCGCGCAAATCGTGGCCCCATAAAGAGCTCCACCGAAGGCCCCAGCGCCACCGCTTGCATGCGTCACCAGTTCGTCACTCTTTTCACACGCTTCGTGGCCCCATAGGGCGCTCCACCAAAGGCCACAATGCCACTGCCCGCATGCTTCACACTCATTTTTGCACACCCCACACACGTTTCGTGGCCCCAGAAGGTTCCACCGAAGACCCTACTGCCACCGCCCGCGCGATCAAATATCTCACACGCCTTGTGGCCCCATGAACAAGTCCACCGAAAACCCCGATGCCGCCGCTCGCGTGCGTCACCCACACCCATTTTGGCATACCACTCACACGTTTTGTGGCCGCATCGGGAGCTCCACCGAAGGTCGCAATGCCACCGCCCGCATGCGTCACCCACACCCATGTCGTCACACCCCTCAGACGTTTCGTAGCCCGCCCCATGGAGCTCCAACGAAAGTCGCGGTGCCACCGCCCAGAAGCGTCACCC